GCTCCACTAGGAGCCAGGCTCCGCGCTGGGTGCTTCTCACCTAGCCGGCCAGCCCTCGTCCTTCACAGCTGACGCAGCAGGTGGGGCCCGAGAGGAGCTCGCGCCCCCGCCCCCCCCCCCCCCCCCGGACAGCTTCACGCTCACACGGACCCTCGTGACCTGGCGGCTCCGGGGGACAGGCGTGTCACGGGCAAGCGAGCTCCTCTCTCGACCCACCTGCTTACTCATCTGTGAAGGACGAGGGCTGGACGGCTAGGTGAGAAGCACCCAGCGCGGAGCCTGGCTCCTAGTGGAGCCGAGTGCTAGTCCCTAGGTCCTAGGCCGTGCCTGGCCCCTGCTCCCAGTGCCTGACACCCTGCCCTTAGGAAGAGCCACAGGAGCCCGTGTGACCAGCAGACGTGCACCGGCCACGGTGGGGACCGGGCTGAACGCGGTGCAGGGTCAGGGGAGGGAGGCCTGGCGGCTCAGCGCGAGTCTGCTGCTGGGAAAGCAGAAATGGAGTCCACACCTCCAGAGACCTGGGTTTGTATCTGGGAAGCGCCAGTTTTTAGCTGTGTACACGCAGGGCTGTTAAGAATAACACTGGGGTCCTCAGTGTTTCCATCTATAAAATGGGGACAGCACTGACTTTGCAGGGCTGCCGTTTTTTTGAGTGGGGGTCAGTGGCTATCAAGCATATCCAGAACCCAGGCCACAGCACGCACTTTGCAGTGGTCCAGACTCAAACGGTTCCAAAGGGACAGGACTAGCGAGTGAAGTAATCTTACGGTACAAATGCCACCATCGTCAGTGGGCTGCCTGGGCCAGACCTACTTACTGCTCCCCTTCGGTTTATAAACAGAAACCCTCTCAGGTCCTGACAGATGACTGCGTCCACAGCCAGGCGGCAGGGAGGGTAGCGCATCGGAGCCGCTGCTCCCTATCTCTGATCTCCCAAATTACGCGCGTGCAGGCAGGTCATGTGGATTCTGATGTACGAGGCAGGGGTAGGGCCGGGTCTCTTATGATCACCAACCAAGGGCTCTCAGAAGATATTCAACGGAAACACGGACCACATCACAGACAGGTAGAGGCAGACCTTGTGCTGTGAACGCTCATCTCTGCAACACATCGACAGCGCCTCTCCACTGGTGAGTCATCTGTCTTCTTTAGAGTTAAAAGGCAGGTGCTAACCCCGGCTTGCTGGGGTCCTCTGATCCCTGCCCGCGGTGCAGTACTGTGTAAATGCCCGGGCTTTAGAGCCCGACCGCTCTCGGTCTGAATTCTGCCTTTGCCCCACGACTAGAGAATTGTGGAAATGACTTAGCGTGGTTCGGGGCGCACAGTCCGTGCTCGTAAGCTGACGGCACTGGGGGTACCCTCCCCGGGAGACCAGGACAGGCTGGCCACTGTCCACATCTGTTCACGGAATAATCTCTCCGTCTCCATTTTCGTTTCTTCTTCATTATAATTTACGACACTGGCTGCTCTCTCGGGCGGCTGTCTAGTTTCTTTTCTCAAGGTAAGTCAATATACCACTGCAGAGACTTCAGAAAAGGAGAGACTTAGGGGGAAGGGAAAGAAGTCAGCCCCGACTCCACAGCCAGACGCAAGCTGCTGATCAATTCTGGGCTTTTTTTTTTTTTTTTTAATGTTTTAGAACATAGAGTCAAAACTGGGGTGCCTGGCTGGTTCAGTCGTGGAGCGTGCGACTCTCCATCTCGGGGTTGTGAGTTCAAGCCCCACGTTGGATGTGGAGCCTACTTAAGATATCTGCACATCTGAGGAAAAGGTCTGTGGCTTTCAGGAGATTCTCAAAGGGGTTTATGATCAAAGGAAGTTCAGAATCATGACCAATTTTACATCCTTTTGGACATCCATTCATTGGAATACTTAACAGCCAATGCTAATTGTGCAGACTTACTCTGTTGTGAGAAATTTAAGCGTACTGCTTTCTCCCGACTCACTAAAAGCACTTCCTAAACCTAAACATAGTTTGAGCTATATTCTATTTTCTGTCTGAATGGTAACTTGCTGATTTGTTTATTATCAGACATTTACACTGCTTCCAAAGCTGAATACTGTATTACTTCAAAAAAAAAAAAAAAGTTGCATAGATCAACACAGGGCTTTGGCTACTCAAGACAAAGAAATGAATGATCTTAACCTTTCTGGAAGGGAAACTCATTCTCAGCTACTCAATCTGCACAGAGCTGGGCGGTTTCCAGTCCGTCGGCACAGCACCCAAGTTTGCCAATTATCACAAGCGAGTTTGCACGGGCCCTTTGAGGGAATGTGTAATGCCAGCGCCAGGAGGATTTTCTTGTAAAAAGGCAAGAGGGAGGCAGGCAATAATGGAGATGCGATGTTACTCTTAAGGAGAGCAGAGCCGCCTGTGCACGTGCTAAGAGCTGAAAAAGATGTTTCTGTCCCCGCGTGAAGCAGGAACACACACACATCATCTGACCTACTTAACCCAGGAGTCCGAACGGCTGGCGGGGTAGCGTTATTACGGCTGGCCTGTCACCCTTACTGATCTCACATCTTGTGGTTGAGGAGCAGGGGCTTTTCACGGAGGTGTCTTACCCCAAGGCGAGCTTCCTCCTTGCAGAGAAAGGGCACTCTGTTCCCAGGAGGACCGGCAGGGCTGATACCGTCTCCAGTCAGGACAAGGAGTCCTCAAGTCAATCAGAAAGGAAGACGTGATCTCTCCTTGTACACGCCCTTGTCCGGCTGGCTGACATTCTGCCTTTGCTACACCAAATGCCTGCCTGTCCTTCTTGAAACGCCTTCTCGAGGTGCTAGCGAGGTATGGCCCTGGGTCACCGGAAATGAGCCGCTGTGTGCCGGCTCTCTGCAGGTCAGTGACCTGGCACCCCAGGGCCGGTGCTGCCGTAGCCGCCTCTGCTCTCATGCCCGAGTACATCACCCTCGCGTCCTGTCCCTGCTCCTCGGCAGGGTCACAGGGCAGAGGGAAGTGACGGCCCTGAAAGGCCGGGAGCCCCGGGCAAGAAAGGCGGCTGTGGTGGCCGCTGCCTTGCCTCACTGCAAGGCTGGCCCCCCGCTGGCGGGCCTTCCATTTGCTCAAGGAGACCCCTTGGGCATAAACTGCTAGTCTCAAAAGCTAAAGTCATGTTCCCTTCTGGGGAGATGCTCCGTTTAAGAGGGTCCTGGGGATCAAGAAGTCTTCAGGAAACCAGGCTCCGGTGGAGGAGGGTCGTGTGACGGGCGGTGAGGGGCCGGCTGGACTGGGAGGGCAGTGACCGTGACCAGCTCAGCCACAGTGCCGGGCAGCTGGGGCTTCCCATGCCTGTCTCCCCACCTCCTAAATCTAGGCAGCTAAGGGCAAGGAAAGACAGAACGGACCGTCTACCCTGGTGGGAGAGGGTCAGCCCGCGAGCCCCTGTTGGTCTGCAGAAGTCTCCTCAATGGTGGAGCCCCCGGGGAGGGGGGCTACTTGGCTTAGCTTCCGCAGTTAGCAGCTCAGGGCCCTCATTCAACAGAAAATGAGGCCCAGGATGGGCGGACGAAGGCAGGCCTGACTATGAGAGAGCAGTTCTTGGGGCGCCTGGGTGGCTCAGTCGGTTAAGCTTCCGACTTCGGCTCCGGTCACGATCTCGCGGTTTGTGAGTTCAAGCCCCGCGTCGGGCTCCGTGCTGACATCTCGGAGCCCGCAGCCTGCTTCAGATTCTGTGTCTCCCCTCTCTCTCTGCCCCTCACCAGCTGGCGTGCGTGCGCGCACACTCTCTCTCTCTCTCTCTCTCAAAAATAAATATTAAATGAAAATAGGTAAAAAAAAAAAAAAAAAAGAAAGCAGTTCTGCACTTCCAGGAGGGCAATGCCCACACTCCACCACATGGTGACCTCTGCCTTCAAGGCCAGCTGGCACAGGATTTTATGGACTGTGCATGCGGGTCAGGTATGTGTTGTCTGTGAGGCGGGTGACAGCCTTAGAATCTTAGGGCCCATTCAGGGTCCCTCATCCCGCCCAGGCAATCGCCCCTCAGCTCTGGCTGTCTCCAGGGTACTGGAATGTGCTGCCACTGACCAGAACTCAGGTGGGTGGGTTCAGGAGATGACTACGCGCCCCCTAAAAGTGGGGCAACAGGACTGTGGGAGGACAGGAGGTGTCCCCCTCGGCCCTGACTGGAGTTCCTTGTGTCTGCCTCCCAGGTGTTCATCAGAACGCACGCCATGGCTGAGTACGACTACGTGGACCCCGGCTTCTTCAACACCTCCAGCGACGGCAGCTGGGGGCACGAACGCTTCTTGGAGTTCCGCAAGGTCTTTCTGCCCTGCATGTACCTGGGGGTGTTCATCTGTGGCCTGGCGGGGAACGCGCTGGTGCTGGTCATCTACGTCTTCTACCAGAAGCTGAAGAGCCTGACGGACGTGTTCCTGGTGAACCTGCCCTTGGCCGACCTGGTGTTCGTCTGCACCCTGCCCTTCTGGGCCTACGCGAGCATCCACGAGTGGGTCTTCGGCGACGTCCTGTGCAAGACCCTGCTGGGCATCTACACCTTGAACTTCTACACATCCATGCTCATCCTCGCCTGCGTCACCATTGACCGCTTCGTCGCGGTGGCTCGGGCCACCAAGGCCTACAACCAGCAGGCGAGGCGGATGGCCTGGGGCAAGGCCATCTGTCTGTTCATCTGGGGGGCCTCCCTGCTGCTTTCGCTGCCACAGATAATCTATGGCCACGTCCTCTATCTCGACAAGCTCGTCTGTGGTTATCACGACGAGGAGATTTCCACTGTGGTTCTCGCCACCCAGATGACACTGGGGTTCTTCCTGCCCCTGGTCGCCATGATTGTCTGCTACTCGGTCATAATCAAGACTCTGCTTCGCGCCCGAGGCTTCAAGAAGCACAAGTCTCTGAAGGTCATCTTCCTGGTGGTGGCTGCGTTCCTGCTGACCCAGACGCCCTTCAACCTCGTGAAGCTAATCCGCAGCACGAACTGGGAGCACTACACCATGACCAGCTTCCACTATGCCATCATCGTGACGGAGGCCATCGCCTACCTGCGGGCCTGCCTTAACCCCGTGCTCTATGCCTTTGTTGGCTTGAAGTTTCGGAGGAACTTCTGGAAACTCGTGAAAGACCTTGGCTGCCTCCCTTACCTGGGGGTCTCAGGTCAATGGAAGTCTTCCGACGATGCCTCCAAGACCTGTTCTGCCTCTCATCACGTGGAGGCCACCAGCATGTTCCAGCTGTAGGCCTCGGCCGGGCTTGGAGAGCCGCTCAGGAGCTTATAGGAGCATGGCTGTGCGCTCTGGACGCCACGAGGAAGGCTTTGTTTAGGATTTACGCATTCTCGCGGAGAAGGCATGCGGCGGCCGGTGTGGGAGCCTGCTTCTCGGCCATGAACGCAATCTGCTCTCTTCTCAAACCCTCAGGCCTAAAGCTCAGGGTTGGGGGAAGGGCTCTAAAACCCGGAAGGGCTTTCCTTCCTCCATCCCCAAGAATGCTGGCTCCGAGGGAATGAAGTACGACCCTTAAGACCTTAGGCCCTCCTCCGTGGGGGCTGGGACCGGATGCTGAAGGGGGAGCATGGCCACAGAGCTGCTGAGGGCAGGTGACACTCCAGGCTCTCCGGTACAGAAGGTTCTTCTGGCCACTGGGAAGCGGGGAGACGAGAGTAGCCATGAAAACGAGGGCTCGTCCATCTGGCTCAGACCTCAATCGCCAGGTCCCTGACAGAAATGAGATCAGGTTCTGCCTCACCTTCGGGTTTCGCCTTTATATAGAGAGATGGTTATGTTCTCTTCGATTAATCTCGGAAGGAGGAACACCAGGGGACATGAACGGGCCCAAACGAATTACTCAGCCGAGGGTCCCAGCGGTCCACAGGATGGACTTTCCACAGAAAGTGCAAAGCAGAGTTTACGACCATCATGGATCTAAGCAGCAGTTCTGAATCGGATTCTTGGGTGGGTTTGCTCATTTAAAAACTAAGCTGTCCAACGCCTGACATGCTCGCACGCAGATAAATCATGTATCAGTGTATGTAGGATACAAACACACGCATATCAAATGGCATATGTCTTTCGTGGCTACGAAATAAAACCCTTTTAAAGTCTCCAAGCTATGTTTATCCCCAGGCACATTTTACTTTACCGTATGCTTGGCACATACTGGAGGTGATTACTTGTGGGCTCAGAGCATTGGGAAAGCAGTTGAAATTGTGAACTTTGAGGGCACGGCCCGATCAAGGAAATGGAACACATCAGTGATAATGCTTTCACCGTGGCTTTCAACCTCCTGCTCAAAATGTGAGGTACGCTTGTGTCACCTCCGTAACATGGTCACACGATGAAGCAGTTCTAAACGGCAGACGCTTGTGTGTGGTTTTTAGATTAGATCCTTGTAGCCATCGGCTCTATCGGCTTAAAGTTGCCTTTCTGGCTCATGCTTCGCAAAACCACTCTCCAAACTGGAGAGGACCAATCACCTACGGTGAGAGAGCGAGCGAGCGAGCGAGCGCACAGGCAGGGCGGTGGGTCCGACCCGGCTGAGCGGTGCGGTTACGGGGCTGTCGTGGAGCCCTAGCTCCGGTGCTCACTGGTGAGCATGACCAGCTGGCAATCTCTTAACCTCTTTTGTTTTGGCGAGACAATCTCTTAACCTCT